TTCGAGCTCAGAGTGGCCGCGGAGTGACCATCGCAAAGAGGAGCTAGGAATGTTACCTAGTTAGGGGCTGCTAAAGGGAGTCCTGAATAGAGTAAAAGTATGAAGCACTTAGCGGTGGAAGTGGTCCAGAGCTAGTGCGTAAAAGGGAGTAGGAGGGGGAGGCTGGAAAGCGGATTTCTTTGCATCGCAAGAATTCCAGACCTACACGGTATAGGGCCGCGTGCGACTGAACTCTTCTGCATCCTGGAGCAGGAGACAGCTCGGGTTTAAAGGGGCCCTGTGAGTGCTAGGTTATCAACAAGGAACACCGATCGTGGGCTCTTCGTTTCAGAGGTAGCTATATAGCACTGTATACATCGAAATTGAGACCAGACACTGGTGTGAGGATGTATTAACCAGAGAATAGGTGTGTGTGTGTAAGAAAGTTATGAAGTTATGTTTACTGGAGATCAGGGAGTAAAAAAGGATTTTTGAAACTGGGCATCCGAAGGACTTTGCTGTTTCTTGCGCATGATAATACACTCTCAACACAAATCCATTATCCATGACAGTGAATGTGTAATTTTCAGGTAAAACATTAAGTCAGAATTTTTAGTAACTACTTTATAATAGATTCTGCAAAACTCAGTTATATTTTACTCTACGCTTCTTGACTCTAAAATATTGCTAAATAATCTAAATGCATATATAAAAGCAGAGTTTGTCCAGCCATTAAGTAAGGAGAAAAATTGCTTCTTGTATAAATTGAATATTTGGGAATGAGAGTATTCCAAACCTTGATGAAACCAAATGTTTGATATGATAGGCTTAGTATTCTAGCATAATGACGATCTGTTATGTTTTATGTACTTGGTGTGTATAATAGTTGGTCCTGGAGTTGATACCATGTAGCAGTTTGTTTGCTTTCATCTCACATTGGCATTTGTGGTAATTCTTGTTTGTGTGCTTTGTCTCTGTAAGGCCCTTGCCCCCCCTCTCCCTCCCCCGAAAAATATTATTTGAGAAATAGATTGCTTTGTTTTGTAAATTCTTGTAGGTGTGCTTTGAAACACCTTATAGTAGGTTTGGTCCCAGCCTTGTGTAGTTCATTTACCAGAGTATTTATCTTTAATAATGTGATTTTTACTTATTTCTAAAGTTGCTTTTAGGTTAAATTACTTGCTGGGATTGCATTATCCATTTAAAAAGGGCAGCTAGTGTTTGTTTATATGAGAAAAATATGAGCACTGTGATTAAAAATAAATGTTTAGGAATTCCAGTTGCTGGCTGTGATTGTTAAGGTTTTTACAAAAGCACTTAAAGAATCCCATCCTTGAGGAAGCTGGGACAGTCTTGCCATAAATTAGACAGATTTAGTGCTGACCAAGCCAATTTTGCCTGACTTCTCAAGAGTGGTTAAGTCATGTTATGGCTTATCTGCCAAACTGTACATATTTAAGATAGATCAAACTGCAGTTACAAGTCTAACCTACTCTCCTCCCATAGCTCGTCAGAAATGTAAATCTAAACCATTACATTTGCTTTAGTAAAACTTGGCTGAGTTAGCTGAAGAATGTGTGTTTTGTAATATAGTGTCCTGATTCAGAAGAGAATAAACCAGTATTTCTAGGCCACCTGGAACCAAAAATCTTGAGATTAATCTGGAAGCTGATAACAACCATGTTAGACTGTACAACAGTTCACTGTGCTCGTGAGTAAAATGCTCAACTCCAGGGCGTTCAAGTTTCTGAATAAATGAAGGTTTAGGTCATGTGAATGTGGTATGATAGCAATTATTTAATAAGTGTGATTTATTTATATGATAAATGTGGTTAATCATGGCCAGGTCTGTGCATGAAAGAAGCAGATCTTCCTTCTGAACTATCTGTAGCTGTAAATGTGTGATCAGGTAATAGTTATCTCTTCTTCATATGGTCAGTCCAGAAGTCAAACCAGAACTGTTTACCATGGATCTTTACCACAAATGTCAAATTTTCTGCCAGAAAAAAGAGACAAAAAAAGCCCCAAAAGATGACTCGATGCTTTTAGTTGCATCACTATGTAGCTGGCTTCATGTGACTGTTACCTGGGTTGAGTGCAGGGAGACTTGCAATTATTAATTCCCTAACTGAAATCACTGAAATTGTTTGTGATGTAAAGGGCAAAACTAGAGGTAGAATCTGTTCTTGCATAACTACAGGTTTGCCTAATAGTAGGACTGTTCAGTGGGTTAAACTGAAGCCTGAGATTAATCTCATGAAGTTGTGCGTGTAGAATGTCTTAATTTATCTGAAGTCTTTTGGGGGTTTTGGACAGAAGTAGGATTTTTGGGTTGCTAACGGGGTATTGATTGTAGTCTTCAGTTACTGAGGGGCAATCTCCTGTAGTTCTCTAATCAGCATTATATTTCCAAAGCTGTGATCCTTTCACTAGCAGAAGTTCTGGCCTGGCTCGTGAGTTAGAGGAAGATAGCAATTGTTTAAATTGAGTGTAACGTTTTTATCCTAAGCTGGAGTCTGATAAGGGAAAGTACATCCTTTAATGAAGTGTTGAAGTGTATTGTTATTTAAATAACAGTGAAAATGCCCATCTATATTGGATTCCAAATATTAAGCAAGCTCTACAGTTATTCGAGGGTTTTATGTATTATTGATGCATATGGTTTTTTGGATTGCCAGCTTTTCAGAGCTAGAGTTTGGAATGAAGAACAATCCACTGTTATTCTCAAGTTTCAAGTTAACTTAACTTGGAATGTCCTTTTAGTTCATACTTCTAATTCACACTTAATTTTTTAAACATAATTAAGTCTGACCAATTTAAGAATAGAGTGTTTGCAAGCCACGGTTAGGAATAAATTTTCTTTCTGTAAAGTGATTGCTGCTTTACCTGGGGGGGCAGCTGTGGAATAATCATGACGGATTGTGCTTGATCTTTCATGTTGTGGCATTGAAAACTAGGTATGATCTTTCATTATAGTAATACGTAATGTATTTCTATTTTAAGGCACTGATTTAGAGACATGGATTTTTAATGTAGGTAAACTGTAAGAACAACCATATTGGGTCAGAAAAGGCTTTGTTCCCTGCCAACAGCACAGAATCCTTAGACATAAGAAACAGAAAGTTATATACTGTCTGTCTGGTGTAATGCATCAGTTTTCGGTTATCAGCTGTTGACCATTGGGAGTTGCATTTGGAAATGTTGTAATTAATAGACATTAATGAAATAGCTCTCGGTAATTTAAGAAGTAGTTAAACTTCTGTAATTTCTGGAATTTTCAACAATCTGTGATAGTGTTTTCCATAGTGTCATGGCACATGAAAGAGAAAACTTCCCTTTTTTTAGACTTTTACACAATATTAGTTGGGTGAAAGACTCAGAAATGTACACAGAAAAAAGTTAAATTCTTGTGAAGACTTGAGCATTTTGTATAGTTCAGGGGTGGGAGCAGGAATGGGAAGGATTAAATTTGTATCAAGTTTTTATAAATTTATTTTTTAGTCAGTGAAGTAACATGCTCACTCCATGTCTTGAGGTTCAGGGCATGAATGCCAAACCAACCCTGTGCATAGTGTGTCACAGCAGAAAAATTCCTCTTGTCAAAGCACACTTCTGGCTGCTTCCCTCATATCTATCTCCCTGTTAACTCACCACCCCTACGAGTAGGGGAATGCAGACTGAATTAGTTGTTCTGTATGAGCCTGCCACAACCTGGCTCCTTCACATTAATATTTTCCTGTAATGTGGTGTGCAGGCATCTGAACATGTTTACAGGGAAAAGGTGGTGATGTTTTGAAGGGAGATGGCAATTGTAATGACGTGTTCTGGTAACGGTGGTCTCATTTTAGTCATGTTTCTCATGGGTACATTAAGAGCAGGGAAAGACTAGTTGCTGTGTATGTATGCTACATATGAAGTAAGGCTGACAGGATTTGTGTCAGTGCTGTGTACAGAGATTGAACTGTGTATTTGCAATATTTCACGTTATATGGGAATAGAGTTGTCTTTTGCTAGTAGATTATATAGTTTGGCTTCTGATTAACACATTATTTTTCTGTGTTAATCAACAGGTAATAATTTCTGTTAACTGATAGGGAAAGTTGCAGTATTTTCCTTGGGTGCTATAGTAGTATAATACAGTAATATGCATTAAAATATAGTGTAGTAGTCGCACTGAAGTAGGTCACAGTCTGTACAAAAATTTTCTCGCAGCACTTTAATATGAAATTGATGGAACTACTTGGGCATAAAGTTCACATACTTGCATCCTGTTAGGCTCAACAGTGTTAGTTTCTTTCTAGATAGCTACTGAAGTGTATTTACACTGAAAAAAATAAGTTTGCTGTTAATATGTGATGATTGCCTTTTTGTTTGCAAGTCAGAAAGCCAGTTTAGCTCATTTAAAATAAAAGGAAAAAAAAACCCCTTAGATTCACAAAGTAAGATTAAATAGATTTACCGTAGTCCTGGTAAGTGTTATAAGATTATATTATCTTTCACATGCTTATTTTCATTTCCTCTCACTGTTCAGTATTTTGCTATATATGAACAACTGCACCTTGTTCTGGAGGAAGGATGTAGTCTGAGGAAATACCCCAAGAGACAGAACTGGATAGAGGTCTAAGACTGCTACTGCTCCAATACCTTGTGTTTTTGATACTCTGGCAACTTAGTATTTCTGATCGTGCAAAACTATGGTAAAAGCTATTTCTTTCTAAAATCCTATTGTACTGGCCACCTTTAATATTAGACTTTTTACTTTAATAAGCTCAGATAATGTTAAATTCTAATCCAGGCTAGGAAAGAAGAAACTGTAAAGATAGCTATTTTTCGAAATATTAAAACTAACATTCAACTCTTTATGATACTACTGTCTGAAGGACCTAGGTGGGGTAGATGCTGCGAAAACATTGAGTAGCCCTTATACTAAACTGCTTTCTAAGGTTGCTGCACCTGCAGTTCTGGTTTCTTTCTCTAGAAGGAAATCAGACTTCGATGGTTATTTTTTCTGTTTTGGGTTGAGAGGAGAAGGTTGAACCCCAAGTCAGAGGAGTTTGCTTACCTGTCTCCAACAGATCTGATCTTCATTGGACAAACTATAAGTAGTTTGCAGAAAGCTGCACTAAAACCACTTTGGTTTGGGCCAGTGCAGAGGTAGAGAAGAAACTCCTACTAGCAACTCTTGATGTTTTTTATTGTGAAACTGTTGACAACCTTATCAGTGTCTTAATCTAGTTGCAAGACAAGTGAATATCTTAAAAATTAACTATAATTTTTGGTATTGAAAATTCTTCCTTTTGATGTTTCTGTAATTTTATGATGGGGAGAAAAACATTCTTTTTGACAGACACTAAAATCCCTTTACCTCTTACAAGGCGTCATTAGATGAAAGTTAAGTTGTTCACTTTTTTTGTGTTTGGTTTAGAATGGAGAAAGGTAATTGCCAGGTGTTAAAACTGTTTCTATATGTGTCTTGTGATGTTGGTGTTAATAGTAAAATACTTCATGCAGAAAAGCTCTGACTTAAAAGAGAAATACTCCTTTTTTCCATAGTTCATCAGATTTTTATTTGTATGAGAAGGTGAGTTGTGACCCTCTAGTTTACTCTCCTCTTTTTCCTGCTTAGTTCCTTCACTTTCGCTAGAAAGTAAAATCAGTAAGTTACTAATCACACTCTGGCTATTTTTGTGCACCTTTGTAGACAAAATGGCTACTAGAGCAACCATTTCAGTGTGGGATAGAGAGAACCAATACAAAATCAACTTTGGTTACACTTACCAAGACAGCAAGTCAAATGGTGGAATGAAGGGCCAGGTTAATTTACTAGTTATCTAATAAAGAGTGTAAGAAGGCCAGCAAGCGAAGTTGGATCCATGATCAAGGCAGTGGAATAGAAAAGTGTGATGAATAAAAAGAAACAGAATAAACTACAGTAATACATATGACCCATTGATAATGTTGTTAAGCTATTGTGTATTACTTTGAGTTAATTTCTGCAAATTCTTCAGCTTCAGATATATTTTTTCTGTAGAAGAAGAGAAGGCAGATTTATCTTATAACAAAAGATTGAAATTCACTTAACAGTGTATGCCTTTTTACAGCACTTACATTTTATAGTACCATTCAGAGCAGACTTTCACGTGCACAGAAATAGAAAAGTTGATTAAATTCATCTCAGTAGACGATATAAGTATGAACAAAATAACTGTATCCACTTAATGTTATTTTTCACGGTAGTGTGGAGTTTACCTCTGGATTATACTTCTCAAAGATTTGTAATACTTGACTGATAACTCTGTTTATGGAGTACTGGAAGAAGCAACAGTGATGGAAGATGGTTGGTACAGCCTGAGAAATGACTCAGTATCACTTTATACAACTCAACAGGAAACTTTGTTTTTCTTGACTAATGGTTTTATGGGTGCAAATAAGTGCCTAATGATGTCTCCAAATTGTTTATGCAGCTGAAAATGGAGGGAAAACTAATTCTGGTAAATTAAAGCAAAATACAGATGTTTTCCTCAGCATAACCTGTAGTACCCTACAAAGAAATAAAAAGCTCTTAAAAGGCTAGAGCAAAGACAGTCATGAGGGATTGTTAAAGCTGCTGCAAGTTGATGTTCAGGAGAGTGTGACTTTTTTTTTTGTCTGTTTTCAATTCATTGTTTAGTTCTTGCTTACAGAACTCTAGGTCTTGGAGACATATATCTTTGTTAGATTTTGTTTGTTTGTTTGTTTGTTTCATTTTATTAGCCTAGGGCTGGCAGTCTTATGGTGAGGAAAAGTCCTGGAGTGGGTAGTGAAGGTAGAATGATGCTATCGACATGCAGTGGTAGTGATTATATGTGGTGCAAAGGGCAAAGCATGATAAGCTTCATCACTATGCAATATGAAAACTGTTGGAATTCAGCTAAGTACATACATATAAATTTGATGTCTTGGTATGTTGCACACCATGCAGGCCTACTTAGGAAGATAATTATGCCCCAGTGAGTTAACTTAATTTGACAAAGATCATATGAAATTAAACCTGCAAGAAAAATGCATTTTGCTTAGTGAAAATGTCTATACATAGCACAGAATTCCTGATTTTTATTTAAATCTTGATTCAGACCTTGAATCTATTGAGAAATACTTTGCTTTAGATTATATTTAATATTCTATTTTATAGTAGTAGTATATTTTTTCCTGATTTGCAAGTACAGAATGTGAAGTATGTAATATCATGTAGTTTTTGATTCACAGGACTTGATTTACTAGCCTTTGTTGGTGTTCCTGTTGCTATAATGTCCAGAAAGTGTTAACGTTAGCAAAAAACTGCTTTACTGCTTCCTCTTATCCTCACAAAACAGTTGAAATAGTCAACATGTGAGTGATAGCATAAGTGATGTCTCAGTAAGGAACAGAAGAGATGTCTTTCTGCTTGATTTTTAACTGAAATTTATAAGATCAAATTACTTGTTTATGTCTGGGTGGTTGATAATGGCAAAGAATATGCTGCCTATTTAATAAGGGGTTTTTGCAACAAAATTTTATTCTTTTAATTTAAAGCTGTTAGTATACTTGAAACCTTTTTATTGATTGTGGAATGTTTTGATTTTTTTTCTCCCTTCCCTATTTTGCAGTTCGCTCCTTTGGTACAGAAGATAGACCAACTGATAGACCTATACCACCTCGTGATGAAGTCTTTGAGTATATTATATTCCGTGGCAGTGACATTAAAGACCTAACTGTCTGTGAGCCGCCAAAGCCTCAGTGTTCTTTGCCACAGGACCCTGCTATTGTTCAGGTAAGTCAATGTTTTTAGATGTTTGTTGCAGAAGATGTAACCTGGTAGCTTTAAGTGCTCTCCAGCTGAGTGCTGGAAATTTAAAATGTTGTTGTAAAATTCACAACCCAATGTAAAGAACTCTGGAAAGATTTTTGTCTTTTGAATCATGCCTTTAACTGTGAAAATCAAGGTTGAAATCTAACTCTAGCACAAAGCACTGGATATCAAAGCTGCCTGTTTTTTCAAAAACTACTAATGACTTTTGGTAGACCCTGATGCCTTTTTTGAGAGATACTTGGTTTAGGAGGACACATATGCAAGACTTCTTGGAAAGATCGGACTTGGTTTAAGTCAAATGGAGTAGATGCTGAAACCTCCGCAAATCATTAGTGATTTTTATGTTTATTTTTTCTTTTGGATTGTAATGTTCAACTTTTTTTGCTCCCTATGACTTTAAAAGTGTTGCATCTGGCTATGTGTTTTTTAAAAAGGCTTCATGCTGAAGGGCAGTTATTTGAAAAGAGAATACTTGGTTGCTGAAGGGAGAGCAACTTACAGCTTGAAGCCTTCGGGGTTAATTAATCTGATACTTTGTAGTAAATGGACTGATGGAGATAGTTACTTTTGATCTCTGAAATTTGTTGGCCTGTTGACTGTGCTTGTGGAGTGTCTTAAAATCATTCCTGAGAGCAAGATGGAAGTTCTTGGTTCAAATGGAACTTGATAATTCCATGTAAACATTTTGAATGTTTAACTATTCCATAAGATAAAATTCTTGATACTTCGTTACAAAGTACCCTTGCAGTCCTCTAAGATCTTTTGCTGAATTTGGTGCAACTCCTCTTGTCAGTGATAGTTGAGAGCTGTGAAATTGCATTGCTGCTAACCCCAGTAACAGTAATAACCCCACTCTCCTCCAGTGTGTTTGGGTCTTCCATTGTTCATGTGGTTTTTGAAACTTCAGGGAGGAAGATATGACATTTTCCAAGTTTGCCAACAAAAGCTTGTACACACATTTGACAAGTGTCCAGTATCTGAAGTTCTAGGGAAAAGACTCCAAAATTCTATGGTACTGTTTCCACAATTCTGTGATATTAGAAAGGTAAAAGTGCTTTCTAAACTGTATACATACTTGTGAACATGTTTTCTGGTAACTATTGTCTGGTTTGAGTTTTCATGCAGGGTAATGTGTGTAATTCATTATTTTTGTGCTGTCTTCTGTGTTAAAGCAGTTAAATTCTTAATATTAAAATAAACTTTATGAATGTTAAGGTCTTTTATATGTGTTAGCCACAGTAGTGGTGTTAGGGTAAATTTAACAAATAGTTTGAGTTTCTACATTTTTTTTTCCCCTGCAGAACTGTTCCCTCCTTTTTATGTAAACATTAATTTCTGCAAGTGTGTTTTGTCTTTAGTCTTCACTAGGATCTTCAACTACATCTTCATTCCAGTCTGTGGGCACCTATGGTCCTTTTGGCAGAATGCCTGCATACAGTCAGTTTAGTCCCAGCCCACTGGTGGGGCAGCAGTTTGGCGCTGTTGGAGTTGGTATGTTCATTTTTATTATTTGGTGTTTTCCTGTAAGTGGAGTTGCATGTGTGTGTGTAGACAGTAATCAGTGTTTATAATTCCATCAACATCTTATCCTAAAGGCTGATCCAAAGTCTTCAGTCTGTATCAGTCCCACAGCTTAGCTCAAAAGTAGAGAGTTTTTCATAGACTTTGCATCTCAAATCAAAGCAATTATGATTGAGAACTAAACACCCTATCTCAGAGGCACAAGTGGGGAAGGGTTCCTGTATTCACAAATTTGTTCCTTTTCATGTATATTTGTTACTTTAATCGTGTATTCATTATATTTCACAAGTGGTAGAGGCAGCTCCTCCCCAGAAGCCCCATAGCTGTGCTGCGGACATCTGGTATCCCAGGTTGACCAGGTGGTGTGTGCCTTAACCAAGGGTTTGGATCATTTGGCAATCCATGTGCCAGCACAGTACTCGAGCTGTTGAGGAGATGTTAGCTTGGCATGAAGCACATGCCTGAAGTATTTGTGAGCTGCATGGGTTAGTGGCTCCTTCATGCTGCAGATGCTCTCTAAGACTTGCCAACTTCAATTCTTCCCTTCAAGTGCTTTTTTTTTTAATTTCAACTTTTAGTTTTTTACATGGGAACTCACGTTCTTGTAACTGTTATGGTGACAGTGTAACTCCTGGTATGGAAAATATTAGCCATGTGAAAGGCAGGCTGTAGGATTGGCCATAACTTGATATGAGTTGATAAGATGTGACAGCCATATTTTTGTTTAAAAAATGTTAAGTGCAAATATAAACAAATGTTATTGTACATTATAAGATGCTGTCATTACTATGCTATATTAACACTTGTGATGATAAAGTTAGCAGGGTTTTTTTTAAGGTGAAAAGCATCAAGGTATTACAGTCTTAACAACTTACTATGTATACATATATTAAAGTGTATGTGAAGGGCAGACTTAAGTGTATTCTAGAATAACTGCCTAATATGGCTTCACTAATCATTTTGTGATAATTAAAAAGAAATAGAAAACAGTCTAAACTAGGTTTTACAACTATATTATTTCTTTCAAAGCAGGAGGTTCTTTAACATCGTTTGGAACAGACTCTTCAGCCAATGCTAGCATGTCCCAAAGCACTGCAGTTGGTTCTGCCTTTACAACAGATGCAAGATCACTAAAAACACAAATGTCTCAAGGTAAATCTTTTTTAATAACTCTTTGATATTTTTTGACCAATTGTGTCCCCATGATTTAGGTGGTTGCCAGAAATGCTAACCAAAGAGATTAATTATGTCATGAAAACACTTGATAGTAGAACCAGAAAGCATTGAGAGTCTTTGTACTTGCTCTTTAAATATGTGTTCCTACATCTTGGTGTGCTGCATAGGTAACTAACCATTTGTTATTGTCCTTAAAGCATCTGTATTGAGGAGTAGGACTTACTTTAGTTGAATAATGTTAGCAAGTAGGTGCATATGGAAATTCAATATCTAGTTTTATTGATAGCATGACAAACTTTGAGATACTTCATGCTGATTGAATTGTGAAGTCCTTCAGCCTGCAATTTTAAAATCCTTATTCCTAAAGGTATTTTTTTTGTTAATGTGTATTTATAGAAATAATTTTAACAGCAGACCTGGTTGCTTGTAGTGGCATGACAGTTAAGTCAGATTAATGGTAACGGAAACTCTATGGGTAGTTTGTGTAATACTGGAAAAAGAAAGTAGAAGTAAAAAGGAAATTCTTGATTTTTTTTTTTAAGTGGCAAAGAAAAAAAGAAACTAAATGTTGAGCACCTTCACCCTCACTTTTCATGCAAATGTGTTAAGATTGCTCCTCAGAATCCAAAAGGCATTATTTCCTGTTCTTCCACTCTTCACTGCTTCAAGTAAAATAGTGTGCTGAGGTATATTCCTAATGCTATTTTTAAGTTTGTGCAGTCATGTTAAAAGGCAAAACACTTTACTTAAAGCAAACAGGTGTTTTCCTAAATTCTAGTTGAGATTTGTATACCAACTCGGAGTGCTTTCTAGGATTAGTTGAGTGGATTATCAACAGGTTCTACTTTGTTGCATTAATTGAAGGGAGGAAAAAGGTATGCTGAGCTTTTACTGTTTCTCAGTTGAAAGAGTAGTTTGATTTTCTATGGGAGAAATTGAAACCTTTGTGATTCTTGGACTTAGTGTATGACATATGCTCCAGATGAGTGTGCATACTGCCACGAAATTTCCTGTAGGGCACCAACAAGTTTTTTCAGTGTGTGTTTACTTTGAAAAATATTGGTCATCGTTGTAGATCGTAAGTGTGGTGTGGTTGGTTTGGGTTTATTGGGGGGGTTTTTTTGTTTTTTTTTTTTGTTTTTTTTTTTTAAGTGGCTTTTTTTTTCTTTTGTTTAGCTTTTTTATGGGATACGACATTATTCTTTTTTTCTGCTTACTGGGACTTGAGTCTTATCCTAATTTCCTGGTAGATTTACCTGTATGGTGTCATAAACTTGTCTGGCTGGATCAAATATCTCTATTCTAAACATGCTTCTGGCTTCAGTCACTCATGCTGCAAATTGAAATATATGAACAGCGCGTTGTGGGGAATCTTTCATAGCTCCTTCATCTGCATTATGCCTGGCACTAGCCACCTCTCTTCATTTATTTTGTGGTGATCATACAACAGAGTGTGCTAGATGAAATTAAGTTTCAGTATCACAACTCTACCTCTGCCTTTTGAGAGCAGCCACTTGCCTTTCCAGGGAGGCAGAAAGAGTACTTTTGCCTCCAATCAGTAAAAAAAAATCATTCCACAGTTAAATGCACATTATGGATAAGTTGGTAGGGATTAATTGTCCTACCCATTTTTTTCTTTTAGACTGGGGGAAGGGGAGTTGCTAAATATCCTTCATTCTGGATTAGTGGATCTGAGGGTGCAGAAATATTTATTTCTTCTTTGGACACAGCTGTCTTGACTGGTAAGGCAGATAAACCTATCAGTCTAGATTGGTTGAGACCAGTAACTCAAATTTGTGGATGAGAAATAACTCTTTGGGTTTTTGTTTTGTTTTGTTTTTCTCCACAGGTCGTTCAAGCCCTCAGATAGATCATTTGAGAAGGAGCCCTACCATGGAACAAGCAGTACAGACAGCTTCAGCCCACTTGCCTACTCCAGCACCAGTTGGGAGGAGGAGTCCTGTACCAGCCAGACCTTTGGTGTCTGCTAGCCAAAAATCGATAGAGAATCAGGAGCACAGACGAGGTAGCTTTGGATACTTTTCGTATGGCTTGTTTTCCTTCATACACATATGAAGTGCTCTTTTGAAGGGTCATGGGTCGGAATTTTCCTGTCGTCCAGTAGTGGTAGACTGGCCAGCAGAGATCGGGATGTATTTCTTTTTAGAGTCAAGCATATATTCTAAATTTTTTTTTTCTCTTATGAAGTTAAACTTGTGGTTTACTTTTTTAGGTTTAAATTTCTTTGAAATCTGAATTATATCATTATATACAAAAGTGTGATCAAAAATACCTAGCTGGATAAACAAAACATTTCTTTATTTCCAACTTTAGCTGAAGCACACAAGGTTTCAAGATCAGAAAATGAACTCAGAAATGAAAACAAACGACAAATTGGTAAATCTTGTTTTGAGAAATAGCTATCACTGTCTTCAGACTTAAGTTTTTTTTAAAAAGTCTGCTGAAATACAGCATTGCGTATAGTTTGCAAAGTGCTAGGACTTTGTTTCTAATGTCCAGAAATCTTGCAGTTTGGATTACAGTAATAAAGAATTTATGAATTTAGAATGCTTTCACATAGCTGTTTCTGGTGGGTAACAATAACTTTACATTAAGTCACAATAATGCAGGCACAAAAAGTGAACATTAAAGATAAAATCTCTTCTGGTTGCTCTATATAAAGTGATTGGGAAAAAATGCAAAACCAAGTAGTATTCACGGATTTATAAACACAATAGCATGAAATAAAACCTGTTACCTTTCTATGAAAATACTTGCCTGAAAAGCCACTAACTGTGAGATTAATTTACAAATTACAAGCTGCTCTGACAGGACTTTTAACAGAAGTGCAGGAAGAGGATGCATGAAATCCCAACCTTTTACCTCGGGAATTAAAAAAAAAACAAAGAACAAACAAACAAAAAACCCAAACCTTTTCAGTTCCAGGTGGACCTGCAGTGCGGAGAGGCCGTGGAGGTCATAGAGGGGGCCGAGGAAGATTTGGTATTAGGAGGGATGGTCCAATGAAGTTTGAGAAGGACTTCGACTTTGAAAGTGCAAATGCACAATTTAACAAGGAGGAAATTGATAGAGAATTTCATAATAAACTTAAACTAAAAGGTAATTCAATTTTTGCTTTAGATTTGAGCATGGAAAAACTGTGTCTTGCTGTTTTAACACTATCTTGGGAAGCAACTTTTAAAAGGGATATCCTGTTAGGTCTTGTTTGCAGTCATTAAAAAAAATGAAAAAAAATCAATGATCAACTAAACTGGGATCATCTATTTAATTTAATACTTGTGTCAATATTTGAGTTTTAAATTAATTTTAACTAACAAATATCATACATCGTGTTCTAACAAGTCTGGTTAAAAATGCAGATTACTTGAGCAGAAGTCCCAATAATGTGAGTTTACTGTTGAGTTCTGGAAGTGATGCAATAAAAGAAAATCCATATTTTATGTTTTCAATTATTAATCACAAAAATATGACTTTGGGATCAGAACTTCACTGGAGGATGCACAAGAGTTTCAATTTAAGAGTTTTGGCATTTCTTTGCTTTTACTGTTTTCCAGAGAAACACAGGAGTAGTTCAGATCCATACTGCTTGTACTTCTGTTTTGTCTTCTAGCAGGCTTCTGTTTTAATTACCTCATTCTCTTGTGACCAGCCACCTGTTCATTACACTGCTGCTACTATTTTTGGACAAACTTGTTACAGGTTAAAATAGGGAGATTCCTGCTTCAGTAAATGATTGGCTAAAAGCTGGGAAGTGAAAGGTAGGAGTAAATGGTTGGATTTCTGCAGGGACAAAAAACACCAGTAGAACCCCATAGATTTTGTTCTCTGGTGCTTGCCTCTTTTTCTGGATCATTTTTTAAATGAGTTGACAGTTTGCTGTTGATAATGATTTTTTTTTTTTTCGTAATAGTAAAGAGGAAAGGGAAAGCTAACCATAAAGAGCTATAGAGATATTTTATGAGACACAGTGGTAATTTGCGTGTGTGTGTTGTGGAAAGGTTGAGCTGGTTATTTGAAGCTTATGCACAGCATCATGAGATTTAACCTATAAGCATTTAGGAATGAGACTTCAGGATTGTAATAGCTAGTTCTGTTAAACCAGCAGCTTCTTTTTCAGTACCAGCCAAGCCAGTAAGTTGAACTTCAGGTATTATTAGGAAAGAAATATATCATAAAGTCAGTTCGTGGTTTAAGATCTCAAATGCTGGCCCTGTGTCTCGAAGGAGGTAACAGCAAAGTCAGAAGACAAAGGAGAAGGGTAACAGGAATGAGCAAAAACATGGAATGGCTTTTATATGAGGAATGACTTAATGAGGCTTTTAAGTCTGGAAGGAAAGTAGCTAGGAGGTTATAAAATAGATGGCTATTAAATCCATTTTACCACAGGTTTTTTGTTAATCAAACCCCCAGAGAATATGGAGGATATCAAACCTCCAGACAGTAAAACATACTAATTTATGTGTCAAATTATTTGACTTTCACATTAAATCTTGGAGGCCTTTTTGTATTTTTGAGCAGTCAGTATAGTTTGAGTCTGTCTGTCTGGGAATAAGTTAACAGTGCTGTTTTGTTTAGTATGATGGTCTGGAAGGCTTCTGTTTACTTTTTATTTTCCAGAAGATAAACTTGAGAAACCAGAGAAGCCTGTAAATGGAGAAGACAAAGGTGACTCAGGTGTTGATACCCAAAATAGCGAAGGGAATGCGGATGAGGAAGATCCACTTGGACCCAACTGCTACTATGACAAAACCAAATCCTTCTTTGATAACATCTCCTGTGATGACAATAGGTATGGCTAGGGGAAGCTTGTTAGTCTACTTAGTGCATGTTTATGTCATAATGTAGTATCAGCACTGCTTATTACCATCCACTCTGAATCAAAAGTGGGTAAAGATGATGTCCACATGCAGTGGGCAAAAAATAAAACAGAAATATGAAGCACAAAATTTATTTGTGGGTAAGTACAATACATCAATAGGAAGACATTTTTAAATGTTTTAGAGCCGTGCTTGTAGAACTGAGTGTATATATTCCAGAACCTCCTTTCCAGATTTACTAAAGCTTTTTTTGTTTTGTTACAAAATTACTACTTTAGTTAAATCAATTATGACTGTGCTTTGGTAATGGTTTTGAAGTAGGTTACATAACCGTCTTGGCCAGTAGTGGTGTTTGAATGGGAAGATGGCATTTCAGGAAATTTAAAGGTTGTCTTTTGCTGTTGCCTTTTTATTAGACAAGATTATGTGAGTTGTTGACCTGTTCTGGATTATGGAGGTTGGGGGTGGTTGTACTGACAGCTAGATAAAATACCATCTGTAACTGCAAACTCTTATTTTCTATTTCTTGTTTTAAATTGCAGGCAGCTTTTATTTATTCATTTTATTATATGGCGCTGTGTGCAGAGGATACAGACTGTGTCCTTCTATATGGGAAACTCTTACAGCATTGTCAATATATAATTAATGATACTGTGACATACCCCTTTGTGTTGAGTTAAATGAATTGTGGCAGACATCTAGATTCTTGCCAAAGGGATAATTTGGAGATTTACAATGTGATTAAAGTATCATTTTTTTAATTTCATGGGCTTTCTGGCGATTCTAACTAAGCCAGGCAATCTTCCTTCTGAAGTGTGTTTTAAAACAATCGTTGTTCTTTTTGTGTGACAGAGAGCGGCGACCCACCTGGGCTGAGGAAAGAAGATTAAATGCAGAGACCTTCGGAATACCACTGCGTCCCAATCGTGGCCGTGGAGGGTACAGAGGCAGAGGGGGAATTGGCTTCCGAGGTGGAAGGGGACGAGGAGGTGGAAGAGGTGGTTTCACTGCTCCCCGAGGATTTCGTGGTGGATTCAGAGGAGGCCGTGGAGGCAGGGAGTTTGCTGACTTTGAATATAGGGTAAAATATACTTGATCTTACTATGACCTGATCCACTGCTCTTGGGAACTAGTGGTAAAAAAACTTCTGCTTTTAGATTTGATGTTGAGCTGGAACTTCTTGAATAGTGTTTTGCAGGTACTCTGAGCTACTTAATTGAAAGTCCATTAATGCTGAAATTTTAGTTACGTAGCATCATTTGACTATCAACAGCAACCAAAACTAAAAGCTACCTTTCTTCACATGCCCTAAACATTTGTTCTATAGCTGGAATTGGAGGGGGGTCGCAATGTGTGTAAAAGTGCCTTTACAGTATAGTCATGCAATTTGTTGCTTTTGCAACACTATGAAGACATCCATTTCTCTGTTTCCTGTTGAAGATCTTAACTCTTCTTCCTGCTACAGCCATTCAAAGGCAGGACAGAGTTAGTGCTCAGCCCCAGGTGGTACAGTGATGCATGCTGTGCTAGTGGTACCTTAGGTGCACCTTCTTTTTCTTGAAAACAATTCTCCTTTTAATGGAAGGTCATTGATTGTACAGATTATGTAAATCAGCAGAGCTTAGTTGCTTGCAAAACCAAGATCTTTTAATAATTTAAGTGCAAGCCATTTTTCTTGGCATTAAGCATGTATATTGAACTCAAATGTTAGCTTGTTAAGGAACAGAAGTAATACTGGCACACTGTTTAGAATCAGTAACAAATATAATTAAGCAGATTGATGCAAGTAAATACAGGCTTTTACAACTCAGACTGGGACAGAACTTTTTCTGCATGAGCAGCTAGTTTTGCAACACAAAATCTTAGTTTTCTGGTTGGAGATATATTTTTTAATTAAAAAAAAAAGAGGGGGAGAGCCTTTTTTTCATCATGGAAGGGTTCTGACTGTCCCTCAGATATTTCTTCATTAGTTTACAATAATTAGTCCTGTGACTTAAATAAATTTTGGTAGCTGAGCATCAATTGAAAGGAGGGGTTAAAGATCCAAGATTTGAATTTCTGAATGAAAGAATTTTACAGCCTTCCAGATAAGTAAGAGGTGGTGTAAAGACTGAGGATTTGTGCCACGCATCTAGTCAAAGCAACAAGCTGCTTCTGCGTCTGTGAGACCGAGGGTGTTTTGACCAGATGTGAACCTGATCACGTAGGGAGGTGTCCTTTCTGATTTTAGAAGATGGGAAGTAGCCATCACCCTGCATCTTCTCCCAGTGCTGTTGCCCAGATTAATTTGTGACTTTGTTTTGCAAGATTAATTTTAACATTGTACTGTTGTTCCCTCTAGAAAGACAACAAAGTTGCTGCATAGTCTACAAGAAAGCTGAAACCGGGTGAACGTCTAGATCTTCTTGAATCCAGAGAATTAGTTTCAGTCTCTGCAAAGAATGAAGTTAATTTGCTGTATACTTGTCACCAGCACTGGGATTTAACTATTTAATTTCAAAGGGGTGTAATGCAGTTACTTTTGAAAAATGGCCATCTTTGAAAACAGTGAGCATTAAATATATTTGAGACAGAAGGATAAGTAATTTCTTATGTATAGTTAATTATAAAGCAGTACTTCGATGGAGTTTAAGTATTTTTTCATCACTGAGAGGATTTTTCTTATTACTAAACTGTATTTGATAATTGCTTCAAGTTGTAAGGACAATTGTATGCAGAAGGCCGTCGATACTGTGAGTGTTTTGATCCACTGAAGGTTGTTTTTTGGAAATCCTGTAATATCCCTTTTGAGATAGTTGTACTTTTATCAACTAGGGTGCTGGACAGTAGGAAACTTGCTTTGTCAGTCAAATATGTACACACAGTAAATACTGTTTCTTAGGCAAAGGAAACTTTTTATATAGTTGTAAAATTCCATTATATCCCATTGCCAAAGAAACATTACAAACTTTGTATAGCTGTATAAAAAGCAACTAATTTTTTTAAAGAATAAACATTTTTAAGTCAGCAAACATACTGTGTTATTGCAAAAGTTGATATGCTGAAGAACACTGAATTAGTTGGGTTTTTTCTTTAGCAGCTTTTCAGGCTTAAATGTTTGATTTTATATTTGGACTATAATGAAGATTTGAAAATGTTCTTCCATTACGCGAAACTGGATACACTCTTCACTTCTCTTACAAGAATTTGCTTTTGTAGTTTCTGGCATATCACAGGATTTGACCAAATTAAGGAGGTATTTTCAAATAAGGAGAAAAGACATTTTCATATGTCAAAATTTGCAAGTAATTTTACTTAGTGATAAATATTAACTTTTTTAAATAATGGACCAGGCACATGAGTTAGTGATTCTCCTGGAATGCCTGGGACAAAAGTATGTCTCCATTTGTCAATTCTTGAAATGTTAACTTTGTTGTAATACCTGTAGGCATAAGCAATTTAAAGAATTCTTAGTGTTTGAAGTTGTTTGCATTTTGATAGACCATAGCTTGGAGACATTAAGACTCTGGTTCTAAGACCGTGAACTCACAAATGACATCATATGGACTTTCTGCCAATTCTGAATGACTAGTTACAACTTTCTGGTATGCTGAAATAGAAACCTGGTCATTTGTGTCTGTATATGTATATGAAGGCCACAGGAATAAAGGGATCCAAAGATTAAAACATTTTGATCTAATTTGCTGATTTATTTTTTTCTTACTTTATCTTCAACATGTTCAGTGGTGATAAAGATGTGGAAAACTGCACTGTTGGAAAATTGGAATATTTAAAAGTGGTTGATAGAATCTTAATTTTATAACTTTTGTATAGCACTACAAGGAAGTATTTTGTAATTGGTTTCCTTATTAAGGTCAAGTATTTGGCAGCGGTAGAAGTTAGATAATATTGTTTAGTAATGTTTTTTGCATGTTAACAAAACTGCCTTTTGGGATCCACAAGTCATGACTCTGAACACCTGTTGAGGTTTTTGACCATAGAGGCACGTGCTGTCCTGTTGCAATAACTGTGTATACTGTATGCGGTGTCCCAGGCTTATTTAAACACGATGAATTGTACATACCGATGATCCGCGCTGCGCGGGTGTCCATGGCAGCCTCTCCCCCGGCGAGGGTTCCGCGGCGGGCGCAGCAGCGGGGCCTATCTTCCGTGTACCTTGCTCCACCGCAGGGAGGGTTTCTTTTTCTTTTTCTTTTTTTTTT